TAAACAAGACCGGCCCCAGTACTGAGCCCTGGGGAACAATATGATATATATGTATCACATGTATATATCATATATATGTCCATATATACATATATATGTCCAGCAGGATGGAAATGTACGTACATGCTGATGCTCTTCCTCAGCTAATAATAATCAGTGGCATTGTTGTAAAATAGCTGACATGGAGTTTTTAATCTATATTAGTATGTTCAAAGATCTGGACAAATGTTTTTTGTGTGAAACATTTTTATCTGAAAAAAACCCACATTTTTTTCTATGTTCCAGTGAAGATTCTTTTTGTAGCTTTAAAAGATCTTGACAAAATATGTTACTTCTGATCTCCAGTGTTAAGTTTGGATGAAATTAACTGAGGTCTCAGTCTAACAAAATACTTACCTAACACCCTTAAATCAAAATTCATGAGGGGGGCCATTGAATCGCATGAGACCACTCCTGTGCCTGAATTTGCAAAAATACCTTGTTGAGTTTAGATGTGAAGTAGTGAAGGTCTGGACAGAAAGGTGTGAAGAGATGCCATTGTGGGTTTTGTCGTGAACAGTAAAGTGAAGATTAACAGAGAACTAAAGGAAAGCTAGAAGTAGTTACAGTGGTGAAAGCATTAAGACACTAAGATACTGTGCACAACTACCAGAGCCGTGACTAGTAAAACAAGACACAGTGAAACAAGCTTGTGATGGAAGGAAAGAAGTGAATTCAGTTTATTTGTGAACATAGAGGAGAGTTCATACATTTTTGCAGACACACACACATTGGTATTCTGGCCTCCTAAGCTTAATTTTCATTTATGTTACAGTACTTTTACCCCAACTGGGCAGATTAAACAATATTTATGGATGTAAATGACACCCATGTTAAGGCCTCTTTAAATTAACACAGCAATACAAAGGGGCCTTAATGTAGACAAAAAACAGCACTGATTTCTCCATGATTTAATTCTCTAACACATTCCATCTATGCTACTTTACCAAAGTTGGAACAAATCTAAACTGCTGCTCAAAAATGCCTCAATCATTTTTTATCTTTCCATCTACCTCATTAGTTGCCTCCACCGAAATGGTTCTTCACCCTTTCCATTTTTGTTGTATGGCCAAGTGCTCCAGGAAGAGGGTCAAATGGCGGACCTGTGTTTACAGCCAGCATGCATTTGGCCTGGCTGAAGATGCTACAACTCGGGTCTATGAAGTTAGCAGTACGAACATATTTAGGGAAGGCCCTGTTTTCCGTGGCACAATTAAGTGTATTAGAAGCAAAAGTGAAGTGAATGGAAAACTCCAAGACCGCCTGCTAAAGCAGAAAACCATTTACACACACAGATTATGTCTGCCTGTCAACCAAAATCTCCCCCATACTTCCGTTTCCTAGTCTTAAATTCACGCTTTCGTTTTCTTATCTTCTTTCTTTTTCTCTTGCTCAGGCTGTCTCTCTTCCTCAGGTATGAACACACTTACAGTGACATCGCTGGTCTCTGTGCCATACTTGTTCTTCACCACAATGCTGTATTTCCCAGAGTCGAGCGTGGACACAGTAGAAATGGTAAAGCTGACGTTTTTTCCAGATTCAAATTTCAGGATGCAATTAGCATCTGATACAAACGATTTTTCATTCTTCAGCCATGAGACCTCAGGGGTAGGATCTCCCCAGACAGTGCAAGAAAGATTAAGCGCCTATAGAAAAAGTACAAAAAGATTATAAGTAAGAGTCAGTAAATATTTGCTGTGTTTTTTGATGCCTGACTCTCCAAATGTTCCACTCCCCATTTAGCTTCCTGCTTTTAGTAAATGGATGCATATCATCATCAGTGATCAGTAATTTTTGTCAGTCTTCTGTTTCGTAAAGGAAAAGAAGGAATATGGTTAATTCAAAACTCCATTAAAACCTTTCAATATTTTATGGACCTTCTTCTCTACTCTCATAATCATTAGTAGAGCTTTCTCCATGCATATCGTTTAATATAAAATTAGATATTATCAGCTTTTGTGTGTTAGACCTGAAATGAGAATTTGAGGAACTGTCCGATGGATTTGTTCACGTTAAGTTCATTATATATTTACCACAGAAGTAAGAAAGTGTGCCTGCCTTTTCAAATAACTAAGAACAAAGTGTCCCTGGAATATTTTGTTTAATTTAGGATCTTTTTAAACTATGCCCTGACAGCTCTTCCAACAGACTTGAATTGTTTTACGCACTCCTATAAAACTATTTTTAACTGAAATCAATACAGGCTTTACCCTTTCTTTGGTGTTCGTATAAGTATTTCCCTTTGATGTTAGTAATACTCCTAAGGGCTGAATTCAGTCCCACCAGACTGAAGGAAGTATCTTCATTGTCAGAGAGTCAGCTGTTGGAGAGATCGCTGGCAGTTGGATACTTTCTGTAGGCTGACGAGTCTATTGTGCGCACAATGTTCAGGCCTCCTTTTTTTGTTATCAGCTGAGAAATTCATGTTTGGGAGATACTGATACATACAAACGATCCCCTCCTCTGGTCACAGTGCCATGGGAATCTTCTCGAAAGAATTTGCAAAAATGAACGTCACATAGAGAGTCAAATGTGAAAAATGTTCATATGAAACTTCAGTGGTACATAGGCCTTTCTCTGGACCTTTATTTAGGAAGGAATCCACTTATGTCTAAGTATCAAATACTACATTGGTCCAAACTTTAAAAGCTATTCAAAGTAGATTTCTTTTTTTTTAAAAGGAAATTGAAGAATTTTTACTGCAGAGAAAATGGACGTCAGTGGTTCATTAGGAATGGACTAAGTGATACATAAGGAATGGACAAGCTTCTGCTTGACTGGAATCAAGTTTCTCTTACATTTTTTGTAAAGGCTCTTGATAAAAATGCGTCAAAGATAGAGACAACTGAAGAGCACTCACATTGTTGGCCCTATAGGCTGTCACGATAAAAATCTACTGTGAGAAGTCTATTTAAGAGGCTACCTTCCCTTCACCTCTCTGCTTCTTATCTGGTAGTGTGATGCTGGAAGATGGGACAGAAGAGAGACACCCAGAAGGCTGTTGAAATGAGCAGATAGAAAAAATGGATACTTCTATACAAATGAAAGTTTTTTGTACCTCTGACAACAAAATAAAAATCAAATAAATCCCACATCACCTAAGGACCAAAATGAGAACAGAAGGGAGGGGGAAGTCTTTCCTCCATCAACAACACATAATTCTTGGTACTGAAGGAAAGGCAGATTCCAAGTGAGAGGTGGTTACGGCATGGTGGAAATGGCCGCTATCTGATTTCCTGCAGCACCTACAGCTGGTGACCGCGTGAGGCTGTTGACTGCCTTCTCTCATAGCCCACTGGTGTGAATGTGAATGTGGTTTTGATTGCCGTATCCATCCATCTTTTTGAAAAACAAGGGGAGAGCAAGAGATTTTACATTTCCCCCTCTTCCTTATCGCTCTCAATACAAACATGCCCTCAGCCTCAGCCTCGGCCAGGCATTGCATATGGGTCCCTTCCGGTGCTCAGTATTTCTTTATTGTCTTCTGATTCGCTAGCAAGCAAGAGATCACCGCCGAGTGGCCCCAGCTGCCACTCCAAGATGCTAATGAGCTGATGTCCATGTCCAGACAGCTCTATTAGTGGCACCATTCAAACCTGGGGTGTTTGAAGTGGTGTCAGTACTCCGTAATTCAAAGAGATTGAAGCAGCAGTGATGACTCTCTTCTTCTTCTGAATCATTCATTAAAATAGCTGCATTTTGCTTAACCTTGCATCACTAGCTCCTGTTTGACATCGGTGCTCCTCTTGATGTTCCCAGCTCTTATTATTTATTTTCCAGCCACTAATGTGCAGAGATGTATCTTATCATTCACTATGTAAATAGTGAGATCTTTGGTTTTCTGGAAGGTAATTCCGTAATTATGGAGCCTTAGCCAAAGAGAAGTGATTGCCCACTGTGACTGCACCTATCTGTTTCAGATTTTCTGTTCTTTGGGCAGGAGATTGTCTTTGCTCATGTATATCTTTATTACTCACTGAAACCCCTGATCATAATGCTGTATTCAACCTGAAATCCTTATCCTGGTAAAAAAAGTGTCCCCTGTACTCCTGGGGGGAAGAGGCTCCTTTCCCCTTCAAGATAATCCCCCTTTTCTAGGAGTTGTCTGGCTCTGATGATTGTCTGGAGCAGGGGGGTGGGGAAAAGGACTGGAAACCTGTCTAGATGTTGTGGTGAGTGAATGAAATCTATCAGGAAATCTGATCTATCTGAAAAACACTGGGTGAGTAAACCCCATCTCTTTGAGCCGGATCTCAGTATTTCAGAGCTCCACACAGAAGTTCCCGTAACAAGTCTGGAGCTGGGGCACTGAGGCATGTGCACTTGGAGCAAGCAGCAGCTGCAAGTCCAGACCCTTTGTGCCCCCCACTACCTTTTCTGCCTTTCACCGCAGATTATCATGAGTAGGGTGGTACAGATGGCAGAGGGAAATGTGTCATTGTATTTCAAGTATTGCCGTTCCTCTTGCATATCAGCACAAACTCACATTCATGGGTGGTTTGGGCTAAGATGCCAGTGAGCGAATCGAAGCAGCTCAATCAGGGGAACCTGCTCCCTTCTTCCAGCCTATCCGTGAGGGCTGGCTGGAAGGGTACCCCTGGCAGAAGGGTAGAATGGGGAGTTGGTGGGCAGAAGGATGCAACATGTTGCTTCTAGGTCTGAAAGTGCCTGTCTGTCAGAATCCTAAGCCTCTCCTTTTAAAAATAAAACCCCTTACTCACTTACAGGCCTTCATTAAAACAGCCACTTAGGTTAATTTGGCCAGCTGTACACAAAACTTATGCTAGTATTCTCTGCCAGGTCAAATTCCTCCCTAACGTGAACTGACACTTAGCCTTTTCCAATTACATCACACTGCTGAAGAGCATTTCTGTCTATCAGTGGAAGCCTCTTAGGCCATCTGGAACACTGATTGATTAACACTGGGTAAACACCAGTTCATTCGTTCTCACACATACCCTTCAGCTCACATGTAGAAAGCTAATAAATAGCATCACAGTCACGATGTTAAGTTTAAGTTTAAGACATGCATATGCTTGGAAGTTCAATCTAGGGATACCAATCTGTTCATATAACTCTCTAGTTATGGCTGCACTTGTATTCAGAATCAAAGCTTGCAGTTGCCAGTCTTCTGCTACCTCATTTACTGTTTTTCAAAATCCTTGATGATTGTGCAATTTGCATGAATTACACAACAGAGAACTGCATTGCCCTCTCTCCAGCATATATGCAAACAATAGACAGATGAGCCAACACCACCCAAACAAGCGCTGTTTTCCCCGATCACTCTCTGTCCTACTCCGTTTCTCAAAATGATCATCTACTGAATTGCCAGAAACATAAGGTCAAGTATATTTGTCTCGAGTTCTGGGAGTTTTTCAGTCATTTATTCAAACATCACAAATGTCCTTGCTGTCAAGGACAATGTGTGTCTGGGTAAGATTTTGCAACTCATTTTTTACAAACTCCCTTTTTATAAACTCTACACATTTTATTTTAGTGAGCTCATACTCCAACTTCATATCAACTCTCTTTTGGCAGAATCTCTTCTCCAAGCACAAGCACTATTCAATGAGAATCTGCAAATTCATTCCATTTCTTTGTGTCTTCTACCTACAGCTATGATGCTCATATGAGTGCTGCTTACTTCTACAGCATTTCACAAACTGCTAAATCCTGTAATGAAAGGTTTAATCAAATGTTAGCTCATTTTGTAATGCCAACATTCTTAACTTTCCCGGAAGTGCTGCAGTCCACTATCTGTTGGCTATGCTATATCTCACACTGTTAAGGGATTCAGACCAAGATTTTAGACTCTTAGCACTTCTGCTCAGCTTATAATCAAATACTTTTAACCCAGCTGACGTACTGCCAGATAGAGCCAGAAATATCAGGAAGCTGCCTTACTGTAGTTGTCATGTTACAGGTTTCCAATGACATTCACATGCCCTGTTTCAATGTTCACCCACACTGTGAAGAGGAACCGACTAGTGGCAGACCAATGGGAAGTGGAGAGCAGGCACTTCTTGGTCTCGGTACTAATATGCAGCAGCCTGTAGAAGCAGCGTGCTAGAAAAAGGTTGTGAGATTGAGAACTGACTTTCTGGGTCATCTGTTCTGTGCTCAAGCATCAATGTAGCCGTGTTCCTCTGGGATTGCCTTACAATAATCTTTCAGCTAAGGTCTGCTGATATAATCCAGTGTAATCCTGGATTAAATAGAGAAAACTATCTCCTTTTGTCTGGGAGAGAACTGAGTTAGAATGATTTACTAGTTTTACACCGTTTAAAAGCCAGCCTTTACAGTGGTGACTATCTTGCCACATTGCGAGGAAGTTAACTGCATAAGACATAGAATGCCTAGCTGTCTTGTAAATAAGGAATTAAACTTCCCTGATAGCCTGTTACAAAAAAATCTGTGAAACCTGTGCATGAATTTCTAAAGAGCTGGTTATACAAGGAGTTTCAGTCTCAGCTCACATTGTCATCTTACTTTTATCTAATGCTTAAGAAAAGACACTGCCCTGAATACATAAACCCATCTGTGCAAGGCTGTTGAATTATGTACAGAAGGCAGGGGATGAATAAATAATGTAGCAGATTTTAAAGAAGGAATCTTTAAAAAAAAGTGACTATTTTCCCATCATTGAAAGGCATCCAAGCTGTTGGGCTGTTGTGTAAAGCTTCAGTTAATTTACTGTACCTTGCCCTCCTGGATGGTGACAACATCGGGCAAACCTCCAAGTACCCGTGCACGATCTGGAAATAAACAAGTGCAATTTTCTTTAGTGTCTCAAAATCAACTGTGTCCCAGATTCTGTTTCCCCTCTAGTTCTTTCATATTATCTTATTTATGTGCAACTTGTCTCTGATATCTGCACTAGTAGAGAACTATTCAGCATTCTTAGCACACCATTTGGACTTTAAAAAACGTTGAATTCACAGCAAAAGATGTGTTAATAGCTGGTGTCAGTCACTTACAGAGGGGAATTAAAGTACATGTGCTATGTCCTGCAGACTTTGCCATCGATTCAGTGTTACTTCGGAGTGGACACAAAAAAATCTGAATTGAGATCTGGCACTCTAAATTTTTAGTGTCGTAAACTAAAAATGTTGTATTTCCAAAAGGAAATGAATGACAGTGAATGAACGAAGTGGTAGAAGATTAGGTTTTGATCTAAACACAAAGACAGTCTCAGTGACAGCACTGAAATTCCACCATTTTGTATGTATCTGGGTGTAAATGAGATCGATATTTGGTCTGGTTTTAAGCTCAAAGTCTTACAGGAATCTTACATAAATACAAATAAGCTGATCACATGCAGGCTTTGGTGCACTTGTTCTGGAGTATGGATTTTGTTCATTATAAATCTTGGTGGAGCCTGGCAGAGGAAGGAAATGACTATACAGAATGTTCCCCTCTAATGTATTCTGTAAAAGATGTGCTCTGGAGCAGAGAGATAACAACCTTATGAGACCAGGAACGGGACTGTGTTATGTCAATTAACATGCCAGCCCCTTATGAATGGTCCAGGGTTAGAAATGAAATGCCCAGGGCAGGGCTATTACTGATCCCTTCGTGCCGTCTGAGCTGGGACTCATAGGGATCACTGGACATTTCCGAACCCCACTCTATTTGGAGTGTATGTCCAGGAGGAGTTAGCTCAGATCTCTCTGCACAGTTGTCTCCAATAACTTTTCAAATGCCAGTTCTGCCCTTGTTTTTACACAGGTCTGAAAGTCACCTGCAGTGGGAGAACTTTTTGATGTGTTACATTTTTTCCATGCATGTTTCTGTAAATAGGGAGAATATTGAGCTTAATAATTCAAGTTGAATTCTAATGACTTATTCCTTAAGTAATTATTACATACTTCTGTTTTGGTTGCTATGTCAGAATTGACACACACGCGAAAGTATCAGGAGATTGAGGCATCTGATATGATCTCCTGTTTGCATAAACAATGCAAAAGCTACTGTTGCTTTCTTACCCATCTCTGTATGCAATGCAGAGCCATTTGACGTTTTAGATAGTTCAAAACTAGCCAACTGATTTCCTCCATCTTTGAAAACAGTGACTTTGTGCAGAGAACATGCATGAGAGATCTCAGCAATAAAGATAATTTTTGGAGAAGGCTAACTGGTAATGAGAACAGGAGCTTAGACTGGAAAAATCAACATAACCCATAACTATAGTGGTATTGGCTGCAATGTGCACCAATGTTAAATCTCTAAAAGGTCACTCTCCTTGCTTCCCCTTGGTGTAAGGACCAATTCATCTTAGGATGAGCACATGCACGTACACATGTATACATGCCCTCTCTCTCCCAACGCACAACCTTCCTGGAGAGGAAGAAAACCTTTGTAAACAGTTTATTGCAACTATTGTCAAAGAAAGCCCACTTACTTTTCTCTGCAATCGCAGCTTGCCTGGAGTTGAAAGAAACAAAAAGAAAGACCAATTTCAGTTAAGGTTTACTTAGAGTGATTGAAAAATAGCTTATCTTTTTAACTGCCTTTAATCCATTAAGGAAAATCTCTCTCATCGTTTGGCAATACTGCTTATTCTTTGTTACCTAACTGTTATATAAGAATTGCACCAAAGAAGTCACATGCAAAACTCCTACAGACTTCTGTAGGACTAGGATTTGTTTCACAGGATATATTTAGCTCCAGCACAAAACAAACAAATACTTTTCTTATTTTATGGCTGCTATTACTGTATTTAGATGGCACAATACTTACTTTAATCTCTGGAACTCAGCAAAGGCTTCATCAAATGCTTTGTAAAAAGAAAAGTTGATTTTAAAGGTAGGTTCAGAGATAAATTATCACAAGTTTAAGTTTAGAATGTAGAACTATATTAAAAATGTAGACATCATTAAAGAAATATTAATGTATGGATGCATGCATATTGTATAAGCCCTAAAATGCTGAATGGTTCAACTAATAAAGGCCATCTTGTATATGGCAGCTGTTTTATATACGTATGAATGCATAAACACACTTTTTTTCTTCTAAAAGTCAGGCTTTAAGACAAAGAGATAGTGGGAGAGCAATAGGCTGAAATTATCTCACAAAACAGAGGAAGAAACCCACAATACACCACCTAAATGATAGCTTATGGCAGTGGTCTCCCAAACTTTCTTGATCATGCACCCCTATAGGTAAAAATTTTTTGAGTACGCACCCCCAATATATGTATATTTATTTATAAATTATATAGCTGTACTACTGAAGTTCTCATATTTTCTTCCTGCACCGCAGCAGGTCATCTTGCACACACCCCACTTTGGAGACCACTGACTTACGGAATACAAGAGTCTGTTTTTCCCAAGTGCTTTTCATGTCTGCTCTGAAGAATCACACTGATGGCCATGAACAAACCAGACAGCAAACTGCTGTCTCCTTTGTAAATTCAGGCTAAGCTACCATCATGTGGGAGGTCAACCTCTCTGCTTTGAAAGGGAAGAAGAAATCTCTTTTTTCAGAAAGTGGGGGGAGAGTACAGAAGGAGCAACATGGAGATGATTATAAGGTTATTGCCCTTATGCAGAGCTTGCAGACCCAAAGTGAAGCTTTAGGGATGGGAACGGTGGGGGATGGAAACTCAGCATATCGGAAGGAGTTAATCTGTTCCCTAGGATCTGAGAGCTCTCTCAGGGTAAAAGCTTCCAACAGTCAATCTCAATAATTTTAGCTGTTCCCCTAACATTCCTTTATTGTGCTGATGAAAGGGACCAGTCTTGACATTTCTGAAGAATAAGGAGCCCTATTATATCCATCAAAGAAATGCAGTAGGAAAGTAACAGAATGAACTTGTCCCTCACTTTGTCCTCCAAATATTACTTGGAAGGAAGAGATACAGAAGGCATTCAGTGCTACAACTTGTATTTAAAACCGCCAATCAATGTCAGCAACACAAGGGGTTTTGTAAGATAGCGCAGAAACTGGGCCGACGTCTCAGTAGGCAAACTGTAAGTGGGTATTTGGAATAGGAAAAAGCCATTTGTAATTTATGACCCGAGAGCACGGGTTGGGGAAAACAAATTGCACTGTCCCCACAAACACTGCCAGGTGCTGGGTACACACACAGACCCTACAACCCAAAGGGTAACAGGTCTGTAGCAAGATCCTGCTGTAGATGCTCCTACCCTACCACAGTGTCATGCCCACCTACAGATGATGTTAGCAGAGGGAATGGCCTACCTTGTCCAGAAAGATCTATTGTCTTTTTGTGTCCTGTTTTACCATCAAAGAGTTCCATTGTGTATTTGCCTTTGTCCTGTGGAGTTGGCTCATTGATCTGCAACCAGATCTGCTCCCCGGTGACACCAGTCTTCACTCGGTCTGTAAACCTAATCTGGGTATCGCTGAAAAATACACAATGTTACCCTTTCGTTTTGCTGGAGTATAAATGGTGTTCGCTCATGATGAGCCACTGAGTACGTCTGCAGTTACTAAGTGATTTCCAAGGTGCTATGGTATGCCACCATTTTTCGAAACTTTTGAAGTCAAATTCTTACTAAAGCTGTGGGCCAACGGGGCAGAATTGACATGACAGTATTTCCTTGTTCAAGGTCTAGCTCTCCTCAAAGCTTGCAGCAAGGTTATGCATCTTAGTCTATGACCTGAGCCATAGAAAAGTTATACAAATTTAAAACCCAGATCTCTGAGGGGTAATCCATGCATCCTCAAATGTTCATGTTGTCTTCTTAGCATAGGTTTATTTCTGCTTGGGCAAAACAAAACTATATAGGGCTGTACCTACAAAAAAACCCCACTGTTGTCACAAATGGTGTTTGCCTAGTTGGAATGTTTTCTGATGCTCTGCTATGCTTTGGCATTTACAATTAAACATACTTTGACATAAGTATATCTTCTTCCACAAAAAATATCAATTCCTCAGCTTCCTAGCTAAGCAGTTAATTGCCCTGGATGAGGCAAAAGATATTAGTCAAATAAGCTACTCATTTTCTTTTTATCTTTAAACTGATAACTTCAAATATACTAGAGGGTCAAAGAACATTTTTACTAGATTAATTTGATGTGCTTCAAGATCAAATTAATTTCTAAAAACTAAATGGGGGGGGAGGGGAGAAAGAGAGAGAGCCAAGAGAGAAAGAGAAATCCAGAATGCTCCATATTCATTTCCAGTTTTGAAATTCTTAGGATTTGTGGTGATACCAGGTCAAAATGGGTGCCAAGAAACAGGAAAACCTCAAACTGCTTTCATTTCTTGGACAGCGTTGCTGGTTAGCATCAGTGTCAATAATTACAGCCAGATTGCTACAGCACATCCTGGGTATAGTGTGCCTCATTTACATGAATTTTATTGAGAGATCAGTAATTCAGATTCCATCCTAAAGACTAACTACTACCATGTCCACAGGAAGTGAAGCAGCAAGAATAGTAATAATAGATTTGAAGCAATTCTAATATGTTATTCCTATTAAACCAAATCTAAGTTGTTCACTTCTCTGGGTTTTCCAGTGCATGCTGTTTGCGCTGGCTGAGAAGTCAAAGCTGTCTCGTGGATTTGGATATGCAACTCCCATTAATTTTATGGGGAGCTGGGGATTCAAATTCTTTTAAAAAATCTCAGTTCTTCTGTTAGGTTCATAGCTTTCACAGGAGGGGCTGTCTGGATTTTACTGCCCCGGGCACATGCTGAAACTTGCTTTGCCTCCTAAACATGAACCCATGCGTTAAGAGGACGTGCCCACTTGTCGCAGTTCCCGTAAATTGTGGCTTCTAGACAAGCAGACCTCCAGGCTAGGTATCTCTGAACTCGTGGTGCTGGCCTCTTTTAAAGCTTGTCAGTCTCTCAGGTTATATATGCATCACTCCTTAAAACTGTTTCAGGGAAAGATGCAGCTCCCATTCGGGAGGTGGGAAGCATTCTGAAGCAGCACGGCCCTGACAGCATCCCATGGCATGGGACTATCTGTCTCACGAGGGAAACGACAGGAGTGCCCTGACTCTTGTACTAGTTTCACATGGGTGTAATTCACTGAAACTAACTCATATGAGAGAAGGACTCATGAGGGATGAAGAGAAACTTGGGCCTCATCTCTCTCATATATCCAGGTTCTTTCTGAGTCTATAAAAACAAAATCACACTGACTTTTGCAAAGCTTTTGCATACTTACTTGTGCACCCAGCCTACTCTCAGATCTTCCACATAATAAGTAACATAGGAGTACAGTCTGATACCCTCAGCTGTGCTCTGGATTTTCAGGTCTGTCGCAGATAAAGCTGAAAGAAGAGCACATGGTTTTATGCTACCATGCAGCCATTCATTGAGTGTCACAATGAGTCATTCATTCAAAAAGAGAATTAAGTCCTTACCAATCCTTCTGCATACTTCATTCATCAAATCTGCAAAAGCTGTGGAAATAAAATCCAGAGACTAAGACTCTGTGTCTGCAGCTCAAGCACAGTCAATAACAGGACAAGTACTGGCTCTGAAATTTTCTCCCCAGTAGGTTTGAAAAAGAAATTGGACCTGCCTTATAAAGCATATTAGAAGTCTAAGTAATGCAGAAATATAGCCTGTTATTCCACTGTTTTCAGACTTTATTTAACAGCAGCCTTGATGAATACTGCTACAGCTGAACAAAACTATTTTTTTTTCTTTTTCATAAATGACACTATTCAGTTGGCATGCTAACCCATCTATATACATTCTAATAGATAGGTTTTTCTCCACTTGCTTGGAAACATAAGGGAAATTTAAAAAATATAGTAATCACAATGAGTGTAAAGGCCCCTAAATAAATGAATGGCAAAACATAACAAAAATGTGAAAACTTTTAAAATTATCTAGTTCTATAATTTCTTTCTATACTTGTAGACTTACACTACTGATGGCCCCCTAAGGAAACCTCTTATCATTTTGCTTAGCTTTAGTCATAGTATTTTCCCAAAATTATACAGAATCCAGATGCAATAAGCTATATTCAAATATTATTTGAACTGAAAAATCTCAGTTTTTCTAATGAGATGATCTTATACACAGGAGGAACAAAGCCACAGGAAGGTGACACACGCAGTTGCCTGTATTACCCCGAACCCACTTGCAGGCGAGCAGTCAGGCTGTCAGCTGGTGTGGCTGACTGCACGCAGAAAGTGGCTCTGACCTGTGTCCGTAAGCTTTAGCTCACTGGAGTCCTTTCCTCTGTCGTCCTTCAGTATGACTTCATAAGTGCCAGCATCTTTCTTAGAAAACTGCAATATTGTAACAGTAAAACCAGTTTTCAGAACACTTACTGTACAAAAATCTAGATTTTACTCCTGAATTCAGCTGATGTCCCATCCCCAGGGAGATGCCCGATGCCCGGGGCTGGGGCTGCCCTGCTGCCGCCCGGCTGCCCTGCTCCTGGCTGGGGTGATGGGATGGGCCTTGGCTGGGGGGTCCTGGCCTGCAGCTGTGGGGGAGCCCCCTGCCCCATGGGGCTCTGACACTTCTTCCCTTCCTCAACCAAAGAGCCAAGAGCAAAGAGATGAAGTGGTGAATGCAGGTCACACCCCCAGCCTGCAGCAAAGCTGCATCCGGACCAGACCTCTCTGGTGACCCCAAGAGGGTGGCCCTCTGAAAGCCTGAGTGACAAGCGCTTTCCAAATGCCATTTGAAACATAAATGTTGTCTCATTCTGTTGTTAAACTGACATGCAAAGGAAGTGACAAGCTCACTATCTCTTCTGTCATTGTTTCCTGAAAATCTGAACAAGCAGTTATAGATAGACATTTGCTTTAGCTAAACCACAGATGCCTTGTGAGTTTTTCCATTTTTAAAACCCACTTCCTTTTTTGATTGTTCTGCTGAAATATCAGATTAGATCGTATCGTTCATCTGAATTTGTAGCACTAACTTCAGCTGAGGGCTAACAAGGACAGTCACTCACCTCTGATATCAGCAGAGTACACACGCCATCTTTAAAGTCATGTTCTTCATCTACCATTATCTCTCTGTCATCTTTGTACCATACAATGTGTGTTTCCTTCTTAATATTAGCCACCTAAGATGGATGAAAACCACATCGTAATTATTCTCTTCATTTGAGCAGTGGAACTTAGGGTCGCATGGGTTAGCCTGTTCAAGTCTCTCATAAAGTAACAGCAAGCTTTACAACTTGATCGCAGTGAGTTATCGCAGGCCTCCATTTTAAAATAAGGGATGCAAGAGGGAAAACAGCACGGATGAAAAGAGAGAGAAAAGAACTGCCAACAGCTTCAAGGAGCCCAGGGAACCAGTGGATCCTGCCCGGGGGATTTCTACACACATAAACCAGCCAAAAATGAGAAAATCCCAGGATTTACAAAGACCTGTCATTCCTATTCAGGTGCCTTTTCCTGGGTGGGTGGCTGACAGACCTGAAGAAAAAAGTTCAAGCTATTTTCCAAGGTATTTTGTTACATGCAATGAGCAGTCACCCCAGCATGATTAGCCTTCAGAGCCTCTGTCGCTCTCCAATATGCAGTTGGGAGTACACAAGCAAAGGTGTACCTTCCCACCCTCAACGTCTAAGTAGTAGTAGGTCAAAGTGCTTTGAACATTGTACTCAATGTTTTCCTTGCCCCTTACCTTACATTTCAACATCACATTACAGTCATCGGTAACTTCCCATCCCAGTTTATCCACAAAATGAGGACCTGTTTAAAATTACAGATATATTTTTAAAGGTCACATCAATGGCATTCACGATACCAAACCAAAGACAAATGTATTTTTCTTGACAAGAATATTGTTATATTTTAATGTGGTTTTATTTTTCCTATTTCTCCTTCAGAAGGTAAGCAACTATATAACAGAACAAAAAACATCTATTTCAAATTAACATATATAAATATAAACAAACTCTTAACAGACTAACACATATATGATCCTTATAAATATCCATATCATCACCTTGTTTCCTGTGCCACTCTTTTCTCTGGAAATCTGCTTCATCCTGCAGCTTCTTGAATACTAGGAATTAAAACCAGCAAGAAATACAAGGTTAAACATCATGTGCCATTTGTACAGTACTGAATGTCACTATAACAGCTAGGTGCAACTCTGTCCCTTGGAGGTCAATGAGAATCCTGCCATAGGGTCAGGTTTTCACTGAACATTTCAAAGTGTCAGAAGCTGATTACGGCTAACCCGACTTCCCTAGCTGCTTGCAGTCATCAGGAGTTTAATGTGTGATGTCTGAAAAAGCGTAATCCCCAATCATACAGCTACTTTCCGCTCCCGGTAGGAAGGCAAACGAGCGGCAGCAGAGTCAGCAAGCCGCTCAAGCTCTAAGAGGTGCAGCTACTTGTTCCCACCTGAATGGGCTTTTTACATGGGAAATTTTCATTCCACCCATGGAAAAGCAAACAATGACAGGCTGCAATATTTTACATTTCTGTAACAGTTCCCCTTCCTCCCAGCGCTTAAAAAATTTCAGTTCACACACATGCCCTGTCCTATATGAGGCAGGCAAGCACTGTGACATGAAAAACCACTGGAACATCTATTGGTATTGAAAACAGTGGAAAGTGAAGGTGACAACTGAGGTAACCTGGGTATAATTTTTCCGGCCTACTGTGCAATACAGATTAGCTTACCATCACCAATGAGGACAAGGCTGGATTGATTGGTTGCTTTTCCATCCTGCAGTTGGAAAGTATAAGTCCCTTCATCCTTGTCCTCAAGTTTATCCATAATCATTTCAACAAGGCCAGTCTTCTGGTCCACCTTCATTTTATATTTCTTCAGGAATGGAAAGTAAAGCAACAATTAATGGATATAAGAGTCAGAAAATATTTGCCAAACATTATCTTTAGGTGAATTCTGTTTTCTTTATTCAGATTGACACTATCATCTCTAGCTCCAGTTCTAAACATGTAACCAAATAAATAAGAAATCTGTTAAAGGTGAAGCCTATTTACTAATGCTATACAAGCATGTCCAATCATATCCTGGACTGCATCAAAAGAAGTGTGGCCAGCAGGTCGAGGGAGGTGATTCTGCCCCTCTGCTCTGCTCTGGTGAGACCCCACCTGGAGTACTGCGTCCAGCTCTGGAGCCCTCAGCATAAGAAAGACACGGACCTGTTG